CCGATAGAACCCTAAACTCTATCGATTTGCGTGAGTTTTAGTGGCTTTAAATGGTCTGATTATACAGCTTTCCTAGTGCTTGTTAGATCTTGAAAAACGTATTAGAGTAAATATCAAATTAAATCAGCCGACGCATTTTCAAACATTTCCAAAAGCATACCGCATTGTCTGTACGCTAAAAGATGGCCCGAACCAGCAATTCTTGCCCATTAGCGATGTGTTTTAAGCAAACTTTTCGACAGACTACACCGAAAAACGATTTTAGAGTATACCGACCAAATGATATCGGGAGCCTTGACATATTGTCATATAATGGCTAAACAATTTTATGCTAGTATACGCCGTGCAGAATGCTCTCCTCAAATACATACGAAACTCAGGCGCAGTAGCAAAACATGGAGAAATGAGTCAGCTCGTCCAGGTGATGTTTTTAGGAGATATCAATAAGCTCGCTAGGGCCTACTTACTCTCACCCTCGACGATTGTTACCGCTCAAAAGAACATGGATCACGAGGCCTATAGCTGGCCCATGAATAGTTCTGGGGACGACTTCTAGGCCGATAAAAAAAATACTACAGTAAATTGACGATGGCTCATAATCTAAATTACTTCCATCAATACATGCTAATCCTAAAGATCTGGAAATTAAAGGCGATGCCGCTGACACGCAAGCTATATTAGCGACATTAAAGTTTGCTGCATTTTACAATCAAACGATGCAACGAAGCTGTTTAAAAGGCTATGACAATATTATGATTTTTTTTAATCTCATGAGCCAAGGAAACAGGAACTCGAATCATGTGAAAGAGCTTCGTGAAAGAGCTTCGAGAGGAACTGAGCATTATTATGAGACAATATCCTTTTTCTTTTCGTCAAACGTTAGTGCTAAGGACTTTTCCGGAATAAGTGACAAGAAACCCTTTCCTATCAGCAAGGTTAGCTTTAAGAAGTTTTCCGGGCACTGATTATTGGAGGGTCAGGACATGGTCTTGATAACAAAACTCTACTTGAATATTACTTTGAAGCTATGCGCACGAATGGTAGCGAATTAGTATTTTCGTTATACAGATCTTTAAAGGGTTATTGTTTAAAATATTTTCGTAAATATACATGAAGTTAGACACTGGAATAGATGAAAATATATATCAGCCCTGATTTTTTCACAGGTATTGTCTTAGAGGTATTAATTAGGTATTGACGATCAGCGGGACACCATTATGTCTTTCATAGATGAACAGACCTGTTCTTCAAACCGATTCTCAGCTGAACGAACTTTTGATTTGAATCAGCTGATCAGCCTAACTTCTTACAACGCGATACTACACTCGAGTGTGCCTAGACTCAAGAGAAATTTCAATACCAAAAGTATATGCCATTTGATTGCAGGTTTGTAGTATGCCTCAGCAGCTGTTAACCAATAGGTCAGACTCCATAATTAGTGCTAGCACGAGCTCCAAAGTATCCGTGCCTGTACTTTCAAAGCAGCATATGCTCTTTTGATACATATGGCGATCCATAGAGACGTCTCAATTGGGGCGCGATTTGTTCTCGAGCGTAATTTGTCAAAACGCTCCATTTCCTTCACGTTTGTGGGCTTTTATGCTTAATTATTTTTATTACACTATGAAATAGGTCAAATGGTGTTTCTTTTTTTACAGCATTTTAATGTGAATTTTGATCGAGTTTTTTTAGTATTGACAAAATTTCTAAATACCTGATAATAATAGTACGGTACAGGTGGACGCAGCAGCATGAAGATAGTGGCTAGTCAAACCTCTACATTCACCCTTTAACTGACCTTTTTAAGACACTGAACGGTTCCTAAATGAACACTGCACTCGCCGATACAGTATCTAATAGCTCAGTATACAGGACATCTTCGACCATGTTCGTCCGGCCCGGATCGGACTTGAGTTGTTAAGTCCGACATTTGTTCTGGCTAAGTTGCATTATAGGATTCGATGGCCAACTACCCAACTAGCAGTTATCCATACGGGCTAATATTTTTCAATAAGGCAAAGATAATTATATTCGATCAATCTGAATCCGTCGCACACAACCTTTATCGATTATTTATAACTCAGCTGCACGGCAGGAGATTATTATATAAATTTACTAACTAACCCTGTAGCAATGCCTGATCAATAGTGTGTTCGCCCAGACTTCTAAAGGCGCATCCTGACAATTGAAAATACGTAGAAAACAAGGATACTCGTAGCGAACTATGTACGAATGTATCAACTGTGATGCTATGTTCATCCTGCCGATCTCCATGAATTTATTGTCAAGGTTTATCTACATTTTCGCCACTTTCTTCGTTTACTTCGTTGACAACATGCTTTATATATATATATATATATATATATATATATATATATATATATATATACACTATACTAACAGCATGAGAATCTAGGCTTAGCTCATCTAGGGTCATTTTTGACACAGATACTAGGCGATAGATAGTACTGGATAGAACTGATACGTCTTTTCAAAAATTCAAATATAGCTGAAATAGCTCTAGTTGGTAAACAGAGAGACGCATTTGCGTATAGTCTTGCGCCAGTAGTACTGATTAAAACGGAGGACTGCGCATATCAAACAACTATTATTATTAATTAAAAATGATCAGATAGCTGCCTACTTATCCTATACACATTTGCCCATTCTGTGTTGCCGTAGTTGCAAATATCTAATGCCGTAAGCCGATGGACGCGCCTAGCCTAACATATTCCGTTGTTTCTACCCCCTCCCCTTCACCTGTCCCTTCCCCTCCAGACAATTCTCCCCGAGTGTCCCTCCCAATGGACCTCAATTATCGAACTAAATGGCCTATATACTTCTGTTAGCCGAACTATGCTATTATCGATCGGCCCGTCAGAGGTGGCCGGGCGCTCGCCTTCCAGCTCCATCTGCTTGCTTGCTCGGCTCACGTTCATAACAAGCGCTCCTTGCCATCCAAAAACCCTCGATGCACTCACTGTAAAAGCCGGACTATCTGCATGCCGATGCTGTCGTTCTCCTCCCTCTGTTACGTGGCTGTTCCCAGTCTGTGGATCTCTAACGACGGCAAAAGCCCATTTCCTTAGCCAAAGCTAACGGGACATGTTCGGCACGAAGTCAGGGACAGCGCCGCATTGAGTTCGCTGAGCAATCGGAAGGCCCGATGCATGCAGATGGATCCGTCGTGGATACTTAAATGAGATGGGAGGAAGAACGCGCTAGCGGCGGCGGCTGCAGCAGAAACGGGAGTAGGACGGATAGCAGCAGGAAGAGTGAAAGAAAATCGAGCCTTACCCCCTGGAAGGCACGCACAATCAAGCTCTTGGTCACTGCAGAAAGAGGGAGAGAAGAGGGGCGTCTAATCGAAAAGCGATGGCCACGAGTAATAGTGGAACCGGAGGGGCTTCATAAACTCGCACATCGAGTTTGCAAGCCACCTATAAGATACTATTTCGATGGGTAGGTAGATAAACACCATGCGTTGTACGCAATCTACTTGCTGCGCACGTATAAGCCGTTGAATTGTCAGTTATACTATAGAGCTAAATTCCTTCACTTCGTAGATGAACTGGACATTTCCCTGAGACAATCCCTCTGACGATTTCTCGCCGTAATAATGATTTAAGCGGCGTATCTTTAGTTGAACAACCCTGAGTTCGCAGATACAAATGAAGTATTTGATAGACCATGCCCACACAGGTTTACATGTATTAGATACTAAAGACGCAGGATTCCACGTTTGACGTTCCGTTCTGCACACACAAGGAGTTGGTTGAACAAAGAGAAAAAAAAAGAAGGACACAGGGCAGTGAGAGTCGCTGTGGAGCGCCGTTGTCAAGGGTGCATTAACATTGGCAACAAGCTTGTCATGCCTTCTTGCCTGCCTGTGTAGTAATGCAGGCTGCTACGATGTTTTTTTGACGTTCGACCAAGGAGGTCTTTGCCCCCGTCGTCCATTGATATCACTCCGGATGCATCCTCGATAATGCTACTTCATTAATTGCTCAAAGGTTAGTGGAGAAACACGTACGTCCATACATAGCAAACCTAGCATCTCCACGTATAGTGCGTTGGATCGGTAACTTCATTTGTTTTAAAACAATCATACGTTTGTCTATTGGTTCTGTTCTATCAGATTTATACGACTTAACGAGACAGCGCAGTATGTCTAGCACGAACTAATTATCAGTATTTAATATATTTATACCAACGAATTGAAGGCTCCGAACAAGACGTCGCTGAATAGTGACGAGCGCCGATATCGGGTTTAGATAACACGAGAACAAGAAGCATTAGACTTTAATAATGTCGTTCTGTCGAGCCAATCACTTACGATTTATACATTAAAGATAAGCTGATTTGAAATGAAGACTCAACGTGCAAGTCGCCGCACTGTGTTGCTCTTATCCATAACGACATTTAGATATGTTCGGTTATGGCATGTAGCATGGATCGAGACGAGGAAGATTGTTTGCTCGGGCACCGCGTTCATAAAATTGTAACTCGTGTAGGCAGCAAAAAGGGGCACACATGCACAGAGGCGACAGTAGGGTTACTCGTTTCTAGACAAGAAACGGTTAGGAAACTTAGGGAGGAGCGATCGAAGAAATAAAACTAAAGCGAATGATAAGACAAGTCAAACAGCGATAATATCTAATAGAATTGTACAAAAACGAAGATAACAACAATGGACGTATAGCGAAGACCGATACGCGTAGAAACAAATGTCACGATTGGCATATACAAGCGGTTAGTCTTATAAGATAGTAGGTGACACATATTAGAAAATCCGAGCGTATGAGCATCCATCTAAGGAAATGCTTTTTGCTCGTAGTGGTTCTTTTCATTGATGGTACGACAAGAGAGATTCATAACAGGACAATGTTCTGGCACACAGCACATAGAGTTCATCAGCATACGAGTTCTGATGATGAGCAACGGCAGGTAGCGATTAAATAAAGTAGAAATAATACATAGTACGGCCTCAGGCTACTTACTTGACGGGAGCTGTGAATCATTTACGTCTGCTGCTGTAAATTCTGCAGTAAAAAAAAAAACAAAGACAAAGAAAAACGTATTGTTCATCCGATTGTTTTTGGCTCGTTCCACTTCCGCTCGTAAATATCAGTTCAGATTCGACTGAAACACGGAGTTCCTACTAACATTTAGCGCCGCCTGAATTTCATCGAAGACAATGTATTTCTACTCAAAAACATGCCTTCTGTTTACTACAGCGAAAATGAATCCGCCTTCCAGCTTTTTTTTTTTTTGTTTGTTGAACGTTACGTAATTCAGCCGAACGTATCGATCGAATGGGAAGCAGCAATGCTCAGTCAGGAATCGCGCAAGTCATTAAATTTAACCAATAAACAAAAAAAATCATTGAATCTAGTTATTATTGCGTGTCTATTGATCATACGTTGAGTAACTGTAAATTTACATTCTACCTAGAAGCTCGATAAGGTCTAATGATTGTATTTATCCGTCGCGGCTCGGCATACATATACATGTATTAGTATCGTTGATTTAGTATAGGTTGGTGATTGTTCTGTCGGAAACTTGGAACTGTTTATTAAGTTATGTTTATTCTGCTTACCTTCGGTTTGTCTCCTCAGTGGACTCGCAGCTACTTCAGATGTGCTGCAAAATACCCCCAATAAGAGGTAGATGAGCGACCATCGAAACAGTCGCCGTGTGTTTGCTGAAATTAAAGAGAGAGAACGAGAGGAAAAAATATAAGTGGTTATCTCTCGGATAATAAAATTAGAAGTTAGCGGTCGGTAATTTTATTATTGAAATCCTTTCGAAGCTTACTCAAACATGCTCTAACAAGTTAGAGCTAACTTGTAATAATAAAGCACAAAAACGGTAAACCTGCAGAAATATATGAATAACAATGCGGCTAAACTATTACAGGTGGATTTATCAAACTTGGACTATAGGACGGACTTACTGGAACTTTATAGTCCTGCGGTTTATAAAATTCTGTGTTAGTACCGTAGTTAGTGCACAGAACCATTTTGGTCATTGCTACAGAGACCATATTGTTCCGAACATCTGTATGTGCTGTCGATAAACTTAGACCTAATCGCCAGAATTCACTATAATTTTATTACGAAGGAGTTGATCGTCTTAGTGTCGTAATGGCATGAGCTTAGCCGATGTGGGGTGAAACAGCAACAAATTCAGATACACGTTTCAGAAAGGAAGTGGACACCCCAGTAACAATAAGAGTAACTTGGAGGCAGTACGTGCCGACAACATTAGCTATGACAGAGCTGAGAGCAAAATCCTCTTCGTTATATAACCGATAATGCTCGATTCGATAGAAGAACGACAAGCCATCCATGTGGCGGCCGCTGGAACGCTCCGAAGCGCCCTAACTGGCACCAACGATAGCAGAACTACGCAGTGGACTGATGCATCACTACCGTTCGCGGTCGAGGCGTGCCTTCTGCAATTCTTCGCAGTTGAATACTTTGCCAGATCCTTTCCCTTTTCCTTCATCGGTCGGCATCGCGCTAATCAAAACTAGGCCATTTGTTCCCTGTCGGCTTGTAGCTGCTTGGCGCAGAAAACGATAGCAGACGCGACCGATCGGACGGCGCAAGACCGACAAAACGAAACTAGGTAATAACCTCTAAATTAAGAAAGGATCTTAATAATAATAAACATTTTTATTGTTTAGAAAAAGAATTCTCAGATATGCTGTTTGTTTAAAAAAAAGTCGTCTTATATGATACTTGTATGATATTATAGCAGATGTTTATTGTCTACACATGACTATTACCGCCTACCTTGAGTACTTGAGTAGGGCCCTTCAAAATTATTCTTATAAGCGTGGAAGGCATAACGACCAAATGACCTTCTTTCATTTACGATGAGGTAAGGCACGTTGATACGCTAGCTTGATTTCATTTCTAACCTGTATTTTCCTATATTCATTCATAACAACTAGTTTTAGTTAGATTATTTATTTTATGATAGCATATATCGTAGCCATATTGCTTTTACTAGACGAAGCACGTACAACCAATGAAAAACCTACACTCGCTAACCCGATTGACAAATAATGTTCGGCAATTCGCCAGAACGACCTTAATTTCGAATATCTATTAAATGACTGGTAGTCAGGACCCTTGCCTATCGCGCTGCCCGGTACGACGCGTCGTTCGTGCAATCAAAATGTAAAAAGATAGAAACTTAGCATTCATTTTGTTTAAGATAAATTGCCCCATTTCGCTCAAAGAGGCGTGTTAATACTTCACAGTGTACTCTAGTTGGCAATCCCGAGTCAATAGAGGTTCTTTGCATTTCTCCTAGGACCAACTTCATTACGCGTATTTATGTAGTATCAATCGGCCGATAGTTAGCAATTAGTGGTTGACCCGGTCCACTAGTGACCAGAGCCCATAACACTACAGACCCGATCTTGCCACGATGATTGTCTAGCACGGGAATGCGTATAACTACATATCATCTATGGTAATGCACATATGCACAGCTAAATAGTACCATATTGTCCACTAATACTTAAATATAATTACTAATCACCATTAAATATTTTTTAACTCCTTAAATATAGGAGACGTTGTACTATTACTGTGATGATTATAAGCAGCATTCGGCCAAACATTTCCAGGTAACGCTTCTATGCTGCACGCAGAATACGTATACAACGTGAGGTAAGAATATCTCGACAACTTGAAAAAGTTACAGAATTTATTTTTCCGATAGTTTTTTAGCTTTTTTTTTTTTCTTTATCTAAACTGTCCGAGGATTTTTGCTGTACTGATAATAACGCAGAAACGGCGTCTTATGCCGTGTAAGCTCAAATTCCAGCAGAGCAACGATCAGAGGGAACTCGAAGTCCAACATTGAGGTTAGCTTTTTGCCGAATTATCCGTCCAAGTTTCTGTTCTTGCAATGCTATAGATAGTTGCGCCTTAATCATAGGCCTCTACCTTTCAGTTTCTACTCAGTTCCACAGTCAAGCGTTACTAAATAGCAGTTTTAGTGAAGTTACGTCCTTTTAATGGTAATTTTTCCATCACATTTGGTTCTATCTTGATTCAAGTTCTGCTGCTATCTGGGAACAGCTGGCTGTCATTTTCAGGTGAACCTATTAGAAATCACATGGCTGCTTTGCCTGCATAAGTGTACATTATTCTGCAAGCGACGTACCCTCCGCTATATCCCATGCAACCTTTATCAATCACTATAATACCGGGTACAACATTGTACCTTGAAAAAACGGAAAACAGCATCTTTGTGAAAGGTGATTTGCTCTATTGGTCCTTTCGTTGCTTACACTGTTTAACAACGGATCTGTCCATTGACACATGCTAAGTTTCAGGGATTTAGCCACGTACACGATGTTCTACTGCTCCGCTTAATGCGTACCTCTGCCCGCTCGCTATTAAATAAAAGGGCTTACGGTGATCGCATTGTTACCAACATTCTTCTACCGAAAACAGCCGAAAACAGCTTGTACTTACGATAACATTGGAAATGGGAAGTTGTTCAGTGCTAACTACACACTTCACAAACATTATAACAGCTGATCGTTCAAATTCGATTTACCAGTAGTAATAGTTCAACCCCCGTCATATAATGTTAAAACTTTCTAATTCTTGGAAACTTCAAGCGTTTCACTCGTGTGATGTCCGTTTGGAAGGCTCAATGGCCACTCCGGGCTGCGAACCATCATTCCGCTTTCGTAAACCAGCATCGATCGTAGGGACACAATCCTAAAGCTAATGTATTAATCCCTTCCTTTTACAAACTCTCCTGGGCTTCTATGGGCCCAAAAGGCAACTCCCACGACGCGAAGAAATCGGTCGTCTACTAACAATCGCTAATCGTTAAAGAGGCCAACGCTTCATGGTTAGCAATAGAGTAATAGGACACACATATGTCAATAACATCCAACGAAGGCTATTTTTTAATGAAGAAAGTCTCGACTATAAAATAAATTATATAAAATGATGAAAAGATTTCGATTTGACGATTAAAATGAATTAATAAAGCGGTAAATCGGTTAAGCGGGATAAATATAATTGAAGTAACAACTTACCTCAAAACACGTTTTTCGAGACTGAATTAAAAACAGTTCAATCACGGCTTCCTAGACTCACTGCCCGGTAAAAAAACCATTGTCTACCTGTCTATTGACAGACAGGATTATGTGAAGGTAATTCTTTTGTCATACCGCAAATGTAGACAGCAGTTTAACTATTGTAAAGTTAAACTGAACGGCAACCCGCATTTCCAAGTTTCTATAAACATCTCCAAAGAGGCACACAAAAATTTTACACCATTATTCGCCTTCATTGACCCTCACAAACGAGAGATCTTTCCCGGCCCTTTTAGGTCGGTGGTACCTATGAACACCAGTGATTATAGTGATGCAGCTAAGGACAGGTGTACTCGAGAATTATTCTAGATATAGTAGTTTTCCACAGCAATTACTTCGTTCCCGTTCAGTTATCGTATACACATAGCCACCAAATCGACACTGTTGCCGATAACGTGAAGGCGACGCAAGAAGGCGGCGGGAAGAGGCGACATTTTTCCCAATCATCTACAGGCTTTTTCTTCAAGCAGGTTGCTTGATCGGATCAGCTTAGGCCAAGCCCGAAGAGGGACCGAATCGGACGACTAAATTTAGAGCATCATAGAAAGGGATCTATGGGAGTAAATGGCCGTTTTTCAATGGTTGCACTCCGCCGGTACCGCTGCCGCGTAAAATCACCATTTAGTGTTTAGGGTGCTACTGGGTCTACGCAAAGGCAACAAGACGGGACAGATTAGGGAGCCGGGAAACTATCAAGGTTGACAACAGATATCGCTGCCACTTCTGACGATCTCTGACAGCGTAGACATGTGCGGAGCAGACGCTGGTAGCGTTGATGACGACGAGCATTGCTTCAGCCGAATCGTTTGTCTCTATTATTGACAATGATACGCTTCCCCTTTTGTTTTGCCGCACGTCCGCCATCAGCAACAGTATCTACATCTATGGTGTAAGATCAACAGCTTTAGTTGTAGTGGGGGGAGTAGCAAAGGAAGAAGCAAATATGACGAACAGCCGGCTTTGCTGAAGCGAAAACAATCGAGGTCTAAAATAGAGAAAAATAAAGGCGGCCGATTTGTGGACTCTCAACAGATCGATAAAAAAGAAACCGAACAGAATTGTATGACAAGTACAAACCATTGCTTACATTCTTTACATAGTCTTTTCTTTCTCTGTGAAATGATTACATCTGAATCAAGATGAGCGTTCAAAGGGAATTCATCATGTATATATATAACAGCGTGTTTGTATGTATGCATGTACGCATGATAGGCGCAAGTGATAACGTCTAGTAGTTGGCGTATATACAATATGGATAAATGCTAAGGCTGTTCGATGCCGTTGATTTGAAATAGAATGGGTTTCCTGTTACCACGTTCCCGAACGTTTATTGCTTTAAGCATTTCGGTCAATGGTCAGTATTGAAACAAAATATAGACATGTAGGTAACATGCCGCCTCTTCTATGGTTTCGGCCTGTGTTACTCTTTTTATTATCAAGTTCCCACGGTATAATCTGTGTTTTCTGAAGTCTCATGATAACCGTCTTCACTGCATATCTTTGTGTATCCGTGATAAAAGATGAAATGTTAATCAAACAGGCAAATACCGTTTACCATCGTTTTG